TGATGTTTTATGTCTATTTATATGTGTAGAAAAAGACCTAAATGACATAGGTCAAGTCCTAGTTAAATCAGGAGACGAAATAAGACTTCAAAATCGGGAGTAAGCGCGCCTCAGACCATGCCTCGTGAGGCTCCACGCGAGATGAACCTCGCCTAACACTGTGCGGTGTCAGCTCCCACGCGAGCTCAAGCTCGCCTCACCCTTTGCGACGCCTGCTCCTACGCCAGCTCAGAGGCTCGCATCGCCAGCTTCCACGCGAGATCAAAGGGTCGCCTCGCGAGCTTCTTCATCTTTTTACTGCTTAATGCATTCTTTCTTCTTTCCACAGTTTTCGAACATACTTTATTCTTTAAATCTTCCTTTTGCTCTAATTTCATCACCAGTTCACCTACACATAAAATAGACTCCATTACGCGTAAATAAAGTGTAATTTAACATTAAAGCACATAAAATGCAAGGTAATTAATGTACTAAAATATGGAATTATAGCCACACATCAATACCCCACACTTAAACATTGCTCATCCTCGAGCAATCAAACTACACTTATAGACACGACCTTTTTAAGAAATTCCCTTAACTCATTACACCTTGCATCTATCAAATAGACTAAGCACAAAGGTGTAACATCCTCACCTCAAAATTTGACTCACAAATACCATGCGTTATTCAAAATTCACTTACTTACTCTAACATGGAGGTCAATGATATTACCTTTATTTTATGAATCACGTTCCCTCACCCAACAAAGAGCTTAGTTCCACACACAATGAGTTTTAAGAACGTAGGGAATCAAGATAGGAAAAATTCACTCGCTCTCAGAAATAACATTCATATGCCACAAATGATGCACCATAGGCTTGCCCGTAGTGTAATACTCTACTAATCGCTCTCATTCAGTCTAGGATCAAGTAGGACTTTAATTGGTTGTAATGTAGGCTGCGGGTCGGGTAGGATACATTTGGATATGAGTGACTACACCTCCCTTAAGCACTTTAATACATATACTTTAACATTCAAGCCCATACTTATGTCAAACCATAACTCCACCTTCACATCAATGTATATTACCACATACTTCTTTAAGCACAATTACATCAAAAGCGACCACTATCAAGGAATATTTTTCAGAACAATACAACTATTTTTTTTTTCTTTATCAATTCAAGTGGCTTTTATTTATTTCAAAACAGTGCATTTTTCTCCTTATTTCATTAGTTCCACTCAAAAGCCAAACCACCACCCCACACTTTAACTTTTACACAGTTCATAACAATTCAAGTGCTTATGAGAGGCAAAAAGGTTCCAGTAGATGGTTGATGCAAATAAAGGGGTAAGGCTTGTAATGTGATTGCCAAAGAAACAGGATTACAGGATCAAAGGGGTTAACTACATTACATAGCAATTAGGCGAGTAAACTATATATATCTGGCTTAACAAAGAAACACCTATATCACTTCCCAGACTGAACAAAACTACTATTTTGCTTTGCAAACACACAGGACAAGTTCTAGACATCAAATGCAATGCACAGAAGACATACAAACCTCACACGCACATGGCACATGACTCACTCATGATTGGTTTTATCACGTCGCTCCAGTCAAAGCAGTTAAGCAAATTTAAGAATCTACGATTTAAGGTACTTATACTAGAGTCAAAAACTGAGCCTAAGCGTCACAACCAGAGTACTCACTATTCTCAAAGCATAACACAGTCAGGAGATATCGCTGCCATTCAATTCATAGCCCAGTGGTTTCTACTCCTAAAAATTAAAACTAACTACACCCAGTTCAATTAAAACCCTTGAAAAAGAACCGCGGCCCAAAGAAAAACCAAGGGGGAATTACTACACTACTTAAAAGAAAATCTTTTTTTTTTCTTTAGACTTAATTCGCTCAAGAAAACTATCTAAGAGATCCATCGTCGGGAAGAGTCCAATTTTGTTTTTCTACATAGCAAGATGACACTACATATTTTTATCATTTTTTTTTAAGACGACACTAACTAAAACAAAATTAGTACATTATAATAATCAAAAAGAAAAAAAAATTAACTAAAACTAGACTAATATTTACAAGTACCACCCCACACTTATTTTTCATGCAATGTCCTCAGTGCATACATAAACTGACAAAACAAGAAAAAAAATGAGTAGGGTGTAGGAAACTTCCCTGATCAAGCCGCGTCATCGCCTTCCTCCTCTGAGGCTTCACACTCCTCGTCTTGTACTTCATCCTCCTCCTCATCATCATCGTCATCATCTGACTGCTCCGGCTCGGCCTCGGACTGCTCAGGTATGTTGAAATCCTCATCGTCTGGGAGTCCGTATCCATCACCAAGCCTAACCAGCTGCTGAGCATGAGCATTGAGCGAAAATCCTTGCTCCAATATGGCCCTCTCCTCCGTAGTGGCTAGCCATCCCCCGATCCGAAGTTGCAAGTCCATTATCCCATATAAATGGGCCATAAAGCTGTTATCGCCAGCATTGCACTCAGCATCTGTCAGTGATGGCACCGCCGTCTCCTCCTTAACCCGGATACTTGTAATGTCCATTAGTCGTAGGGGCTGATCAATGATGTGATCGAAAGCTTTCTCCTCCTCAACCTCTTCGTGTCTCAAGAATTGAGTTAACATATTTGCAAATGGCATTCGATCGATCCTCTTACTAGTTCTTACTAGAGACATCTGGTAGCGGATCAAATTACCCACATTTACCCTCTGACCCGTCATGAGGAAATATAACACACACGTCCTCTCACGGCTAATAAGCGTGACATGATTGCAAGGTAGGAGCCGTGTATTAATCAGTTTCAGTCATACTTGAGCCTCTGCCCTCATCTTCTTCTTGGGGAATTTCCTGTGCCGATTTGTTTTCTTATCTCGAACCCAAGCCGCCACAGAATTTACACCACAAAGAGTGTGTCTCAGCTCTCGATATGTAGGACGGGTGATGAAGTAGTCCAATGGCTCCTGAGGAACATCCGTAGCACCTAAGAAATTACATATTGCCATGGCTAAAAAATCTATCAACCGTCCACGAATCGGCACCAGCTATTCCGGATCCTTTGGATCAAACCCGACATAGATTCCCGAACCAGTTTGAGATTTATATCCCCTGTATTTTTGAACACATAACTCAACCCCAACTCATAGATGCCTCTCCAAATCGCTTGGTACTTGTCTTGCAGGCGATGCTCATGAATAGCAGCTTCTGGATGTACATGTTTTGGCCTACAACGCCTGTACCAATCCTTAGTGTGTGGGGGTATGCTTTTGAGTCCAAACTCCCACTGTCCTTGAGTTTGTGGACGAGTGTCTGCTATAGCTTCCATGGCTTGCAATCCTTCAACTTGACTTGAAGTGGCTTTACCCCCTTTTCTCTTCTTCGGTAGAGGTGCGGAGGTAGCCTTAGCTTTAGACGGAGTCATGGATGTGGCTTTGCCTTTACCGGTGTCTTTTCTTGGAGGCATAATTGTACCTACACAAGTGAGCATGAATCAGTTTAAGCTGCATTGCAACATGTCACAACATGGTCTTGCCACCCCACACTTAAGAGTTTAACACATGATTTTCAACAATTTTCGAGGTTACTCAGACTTCACCTCATATTTTCTTAGCATAAGAATCAAGCAATGACACATGGGTGCTTCCTCCAATTTTGAAGCATCGGGCTACCGGTGAGCTACCCCACACTTAAGTTTTTAAAGTGGTGCACGACTACATAGCACTAGTCTAATAATCCCGGAGACTTGGGCTCCAATGGGGACAAAGAATGCATTTGAGGTATTATAACAAACACTTAGCATGCACTAATTCCATGGGAGTGCTTGTAGGGGTGAGGGTTGCCTACCCTCCCAAATCGGCTTGGGAGTTCCGTACTACCACTTGTTCACATAATAGCAACACCATTCCTATGGGGTTCATGGGGTTGGGACACACAAACACATTGTTACAATGAAGAACACCCCCAAATTTTGTGTCTAATGTCATGCATTCACCCAACTTAAAATTTCCCAAAGAAGGAGATAGAAATCATACCTTAGATGTTTAAGAGGAGGGATTTTCCTTTGAATTGCTGTTGCAAGTGAAGGAAATAGCAGAAGATTGCTTGTCTTCAATGGGGTTGTGAGGG